ACGGAGTAGAAAACACTCTTCTCTCATCAGTGCCCAAATGGACCCTTAACTGCTTAACTGCTTGGCTGCCTCTGCCATAGACAGACTGGCTTGGAAGAGACCTGTCACGCCCTCTCACAAGTGTGATGATTTGTGGCTGGGAAGGGAGAGCCTGCTCTCTGAACCACGTGCCCCCTGGTGCAGGCAGGCTAAGGAAAGATGAATGGCATTATAAGACAGACATCTGAATGTTTCGTATTAAATTAGTCCCATAGAGCGCCTAGAATTCTCATTCCATAAATCACAAAGTAAAGTAAACTCACTCCCAGGTTAGATTGTTGTGACTTTGGCCTGTGGTGTCATAGATAATCTGAGAATAGTTAAACATTTGTCTGAAATAGTAATAATTTTCAGCATATTTACTCAGTGACATAGAAATGACCCAGACTGATCTCTGTTGCCAGAAACAGCATGTAAATGGGAGTGAGCCAATTTAGGAGATTTCCAAACAAGGGTCACTGCTCCTCACCGCTTCTGCCTCCTCTGAGACTTCCATGGGCTCTCTCAGGGGCTGCTAGGTGCTGGGGCTGAGATGAGCGAACTTCATTTCCTCCAGAGTAGGTACTAAAAAGCACTGATGCGCCTCCACCTCTTTACTAAATGGCAGTTGCAGCACCATTTTGAAATCTACTTCCACCTTGTTTGGTCTAAGCATGATACAGCTAGGAAGAACCTTGATTCCACTAAAGCCACATTTCTCTTCAATGGCAAAGGTTTATTCTGAGAATATTTTACATACCCTTGGATCAATTCTGGTCCTTCCATTCCTGGGCTAACACTGTGATTACTGGGGACATAATAGAATGGAAAGAGCATTAGACCATTCAATTCCATGCTAACTGGCTGAATGAAGGCCTACCTGAACTGCTGCTTCCTCTTCAAAAAATAAATTAGACTCTTACATCTCTACAGTTCCACTCAGCTTTAAAAGTATGATTCTGATGCAGTAGTGAGATACAACTGGACAATAAGAGTTACGACAGCTAGAATTCTAGCTGACCCCAGGAAGCCTATCCTTCTGCTTGATAAGACTTGTTACAGGTGTTCACTAGGGCATGCGTCCAGATCATCTTTACCCTCAGAAGCCCAATCCAAAATTTACCAGAGCAACAGAGGGGGGCCACAGTACAGCTTAGTGATGGCCAAGGACTGGAGATGATTCATTCCAGGGAAAGATCTTTGGATTTGGTGTCAAAGGCCTGAATTGAGTCTTGCCTCCTGTACTGTTGGACAAGTCTTTTGGTATACAGATCAATAAGATTATAAATGTTGAAGGAGAAGGGTACTAATGCGGGTAGAATGTCTATAGATGTCGGATACCTTGTTGGACTTTTACACTATTGTTGTCAATCTGTTTAACTCCATACTCATGACCATCCTTGGAAGTAGATATTTTTTCTACTTCTACTTTTGAATTTTACAAATGAGGAAGCTGAGCTTCTGAGAGGTGAAATATCTTGCCCCAACTGGGTAGAGGGATAGGTGAAATAGGTGATGGGGATTAAGGAGTGCATTTGTTGTGATGAGCACTGGTGATGTACGGAATTGTTGAATCACTATATTGTACACCTGAAACTAATATAACATTGTATGTTAACTGTATTTGAATTAAAATTTAAAAATAATGATAATAATAAATAATAAAAAAAGCCACCAGCCAGTAAGTGGCAGAACTGAGATTTGAACCTGGATCTGCCTAACCTCAAAGCCTGTAGAAATTTTAGTTACTGAGATTAGTAATTATGAAACTGAGTTCACTGGATGCCTTCAATGAGTAATTCTGTGCTTTAATCACTGCCTGTTTGGAAGATTTCCCTGATGACAACTAAGTTAGGCAAAGTAAGCTAGACTTAGATGCCCAACCCAAGGTGTGTGGGGCACTGCCATATGCATGGGAGTGGCCCTCACCTACTCTTCAGGACATAGCATGTCATCTCAGGTCTCACCTCTCTACCCCAATGGCTATATTCACCTGTGTATTAGTTGCTAAGACTGCTGGAGCAAAGTACCACAGACTGGGTAATTTAAACAACAGAAATTTATTGTCTCACAGTTCTAGAAGCTATAAGTCCAAGATCAAATTGACAGCAGGCTTGGTTCCCTCTCTAGGGTATAAGAGAATGATCAGTTCCATGCCTCTGTCCCAGCACCTGGTGGTTTCCAGGCAATCTTAGGTGTTCCTTGAGTAGAATCATCACCCCAATCTCTGCCTTCGTCTTTACATGACATTCTCCTTGTGTGCCTATCCTTGTTCAAATGTCCCCCTTTTGTAAAGACACCAGTCACATTGGGTTAGGGACCCACCCTACTCCAATATGACCTCATCTTAACTAATTATATCTGCAAAGACCCTATTTCCAAATAAGAACATATTCTGGGTACTGAGGGCTAGGACTTTGATATATGATTTTCTTTTAGTTTGGGGGGGGATACAATTCAACCCATATTAGTCAGAAAGAAATGTCCCACCCCTCACCCACACAAGCACTTCCTCTGAGCTCAAGTGCTCTACCATTAAAGATCGCAACATTCTTTCTTGATGGCATGTCTCTCTCCCTTTTATGTCTTTCTTGTTTCTTACTAACACAGAAGTCTGATATTAATGGAAAAACCATTAAAAAAAACTATTATCCTATGAGGTAAAGTGAATGCACTCAACTGTAAAAGGAAGACTTATCGATCAATTTCAGTTACACCTTGCTTGTCTGACACTTTGCAGCTAAGGAATGTGTTTTTATTGCCTGGCCAGATAGTTCAGATTTCCGGTCAGTCTTAGTAAAGACCCCTTTTTATAACATTGATAAAATTTTATCACAGAGCTATGAAAACAAAATTAGATTTCATAACTCACATCAGGCCTTGAAGGGAATGCCTCTATAAATTTTACAAACCTTATCAAGTTTTAATGCACCTATGCTGATAAATATTTTTAAAATAGCAACTTCTACTGAACTTCATATATATGTGTGTATAAATAAGTTTATGTGTGCATACATGTATTTGTCTCTCTTTTTTTCTATCTTATAGGAAAGAAAACTTCCTTCACCTACTTGTAAACAGAAGATTGACAGAAAGTCCAATTATTTAGATTGCTGAAGACTCGAATTTAGGAAAATCCCCTTCTATAAAAGAAATCTGCATGATTCATTTAAACATTTAGTCCCAAAATTTACCTTTTAAAATAACTTGATTTTTCATGGACTGATTCTGAAGAATTACCAACACTGATAAATCAGCTACAAGCTATCTATAAATTGATAAGAAGACATATCATAATCAAAGGCAGCATTAGCCATAGAGACTTTATTTTCTGGTGAAATCATGTGGACGTTGTCTAGTTTTTCCAGCCTATAGAGTGGCCTATTGGAAAAAGTTGCATATATATACATGTACATGTACATGTGTACATATGTATACATGTACACATGTACATGTACATGTACATATATATAGAACATATATTTTGTCTCCCCAACCAGACGGCAAGTGCCTGGAAGGCAGGGACCCTTGTTTTTATTGACTTGTGACAGGGCTCTGCCCACGAGGACTCAGTGATAATGCCCAGCAGTCCCACTGCCAGAGCAACGTCATGGGCATCAGCCGTCTTCCTCTCTTGTGCTTTACCACAAACTGAAATTATAACAGGACAGTGGGAACGGACGATCTGCTTTATAGGTTTCATTCCAGCCAGCTGTTCCGCAGCTACAAGCTCAGCGTCAAATTAAATCGAGCTATAGTTGAATAGTTATGTCTGCTCTTCACAGGCAAGAAACACTTCTCAAAATTGTGCAAATGAAATAAATGTTATTGTGTAAACTAGGCATCTTATATTCTTAAAGCATTATCTTTGATGATTATACATTTTGCTTTAAGATGCCAAGTTTGAAAAAAAATCTAAAAATGATGTGAAATTACTTATGTATAAATTGACAACATTTAAAATCTCAGTAGACTTTGTAAAGGAGTTCTCTAACTGTTTTGGTTCATATACTACCTTAGAGAATCTTGAAAAGCGATAAACTTACAAAGTGTGCATACCAAAGAAAAGCTTTTTTCATATCATTTCATATCATTTTCATATCATTTCATGGAGTTCACAGACCAACCTGAAAAAACATCTGTAAAGAACTTCTGATATAAGGGAAGATATTTTTTTAATCTTTTAAAAAAAATTTTTTTTAATGTTTTATTTATTTCTAGGAGAGAGAGAGAGAGAGAGTGTGAGCAGGGGAGGGTCAGAGAGAGAGGGAGCCACAGACTCCGAAAACAGGCTCCAGGCTCTGGGCTGGCAGACGCGGGGCTCGAACCCACGAACCGTGAGATCACGACCTAAGCGAAAGTTGGACGCTTAACCGACTAAGCCACCCAGGCTCCCCAATCTTTTTTTAAATGTTTATTTATTTTTGAGAGAAAGAATGTGAGTGGGGGATGGGCAGAGAGAGAGAGACAGAATCCGTAACAAGGAGCTGTCAGCATAGAGCCTGAGGTGGGGCTCAAACTCACAAACCACAAGACCATGACCTGAGCCGAAGTTGGATGCTTAACCAACTGAGTCACCCAGGTGCCCCAGGGAAGATATTTCTAATTTCCATAACCTTTAAGGTTTAGGGGACCTAGGATCTATACATCTCAATGGAAGATTTCAAAATATATAGCAGATGAAGCAGATTCCAAGTTTCACTGTGGTAATGTTCTCTTGTTATATTCAAAAACAATAAACCATGAAGATTTCTTATCATCTCTGAGTATGATTTTTGCATCTATGAATCTTAAATGGGAAAAGGAAAAGAAATGTAAACTTCAAACAGTGTTGTTAATTTGGGGCATTCCTTGGAGAAAACACTTATTACCTGGAAGAAAAAAAGCTAATTAAGTCGACATTTCTTACAATCTCAGAGCCATTTTACTTGCTACTCTTATAAGCAGAAGGGAATACATGCTGTTTCTCTTTTGACTGTCAGGAGAATAATAGGGAACGCTGAGAGGCCCAGCTGTGGCAGCCCCTGAGAGCGGAGACTCCGCAGAGGAGTGGCCTCGAATGTCCGGAGCCTGCCTGGAAATCACTGCTTCCTGGCTGCAGAGAAACAGAGCAACTTGGATTGGAACTTCCAGCTGTCTGTCCTTTTAATGCACTTGTATATAAGAGAATGACATTTCCAAACATACAGATAACTTTCCGATCATTTTATTACAAGTCATGTCACAACTATACTTCAGTTGACCCAGTCAAAACTAACTGTGCTCTGTCAGAAATGATGTTAAAATGCTTTTTTAAAATTCTCTCTGAGGTATTGTTTAGAAACCACCTTAAAACTGTTGCATTTTTATATGAAAAATATATTAGATTATGATTTAATGTCTCTGTCGTTGGCTAGAGTTCTCAGGTTAGAAAGGGACTGGATTTAGGAGCCCAAGACACTCCCTGTTGCTCTGTCTGTTCTCTGTTTTGTTCCCAGAGCCCAACACAGTGCCTGGAACACAGTAAGTGCTCATTAAATCTTTGTTAAAAATCAAATGAGAAGCCACGTTTCAACCCTGGCTGTGCTTCTTACAACACATAGGACATATCTTTTTTCTTAACTGTGAAATGAGAATACTACCTTCAACCCCCCAAAAGTTGTTTTTAGCATCAGATGAGATAAAGCATGGAAAAACTATTTTTCTTTTTTTTTTTTCTGAAGAAAGGAATAATCTTCAAATTAGACATATGATCTCGTGTAGATATAAAAGAAGTAAGTACCAGTATACTATTACAGAGGAAAGAAAGGAGATTACAGACATCGAATTCAAAATCAAGTATTATTATTTTATGTTTTAATGGTGAAATGAAGAAAGAGAGTGTTTAGATACTAGAAGGGAAAGACCATCACACCCTGGGCCCTAATGCATCAAAATTATGAGCTTTCTTTAATTCATGTGCACAACCTAAGATAGTTCAGAGCTGCCTTGTAGCCAGTAGGGGAGGGGTTACATGACATTTATGTAAGTTGGGGAGAAGGGACCTTTTGATCCTCAATAGAGGAGGCAGATCCTTCAGTTGAAAGTAAGCAAAATTATTTTAAAAGGGTGCTAATAACATACTTTTATATGATTGTGATTTACTCAAGAATTTGAGAGGCAAGGAATACCCCAAATCTAGAGGAAATTGACATTATTTATTCATGTAACATATAGTTATGGAATTTCTGTGGTATGCTAGTACTGTTTTGGAGGCTGGAGCTGTAATGCTGAATGAGAAAGAGTCTTAGCTCTCATGGACTTTACTAGCCTAGGGAATGCACACAGTCAAAAAATAAAAAGGAAACAAAAAATAGGTAAGATAACAACTGATGATAAGTGTTATGAGGGAAAAAACACTGGGTACAGGAATAGAAAGTAGCTAGACAAATTGATATTTAAATGTAAAAAATTATTTAACTTTTATTCATTTTTGAGAGACAGAGAAAGAGACAGTGTGAGTGGGGAAGGGGCAGAGAGAAGGAGACACAGAATCCGAAGCAGGCTCCAGGCTCTGAGATGTCAGCACAGAGCCTGACGCGGGGCTCGAACCCACAAACAGGTGAGATCATAACCCGAGCCAAAGTTGGATGCTCAACTGATTGAGCCACTCAAGCGCCCCGACAAACTGATATTTAAAAGCATATAGTTGTCAAAACCTATTTGTTGCATGGATAAATAAGTGAATTGATATAAAAAATATCACTTCCAGAGGATAATAACTGTAATTGGCTACTTTGGGAAGCACTCTTTTAAAGAGTTTGGGGGAAGAGAGGAGTAGACTTGGAGTTAGTAAACAAAGAATCATCTTGGCTATTCTCATCAAGCTGTGTGATCTTGGGAAATTCACCTAGCCTCTCTGTGTCTTGAATATAGAGTAGAAAATATTATCCGATTATCAACAGAAGACTCTCAACTTTTAGATATGCTGGCTTCTGACAGAGGTAAAGTGTAACAAATTTTGAGATGTCTTCTGAAATGTTCTTGAATTTATATTTATCCTTGGGACTTCAGGATATTGTCATCACTGCCACCTCCGCTATCACCATCAGGGTTGTTGTTGCCCAGTGGGCACGAACACAGGTGCTAGAGGCAATAAATGTTAGGTAGGAAGCTATCTTCTACGTATCAAGCACTATGTCAGTTCTTTACATTCATTAACCTGTTTAGTACTCACAAGTATTATTAGCTCCATTTTTTAAAAGAGATTTTAATATTTATTTTTAAGAGAGAGATAACACAAAAGTGGGGCAGGGACAGAGAGAGAGAGAGGGAGACACAGAATCTGAAGCAGGCTCCAGGCTCTGAGCTGTCAGCACAGACCCCAATGCTGGGCTCAAACTCACAAACTGTGAGATCATGACCTGAGCTGAAATTGCACGCTAAACCAACTGAGCCACCCAGGCGCCCCTCCATTTTGTAGATCTGGAAACTGAGACATTGATGTTAAGTAAACTACCTGTGGTCTCACAGCTAAGAAAGGACAGTGTGAAGCCTGACACTAAAAGCCAGGACACTAAACCTCTATACTAACCATTGTCCATTCATTCATTCTAGAAGTATTTATTTATTGAGCACCCACTATGTACTATTTGTTTGATCAAGTTCAGTTGGGCATGAAGCAGATAACCCTCTTTGTGTCAAAAGAACAAAATACACAGGAAGGAGAAGGAAAAAAAAAAGAGGTGAATACAAAGTATACCCTATGTATTCCTTTGATTGGAACTTAGGAGATGCAACATATTTTTTGCTACCACTCTCTGAGCTTCTGGAATCTGTCTGTCTGCTCTCTGTTTGAACTTGGGTAAATATAAAGCTTATATTTTCCTCTGTTCCCTGAGTTTACAGAATCCCGAAGCATTTGGTTTAGATTAAATCCATTGACCGAGGCATTATAATTCGACTTCAACATAGATGATCCCATCACCCGTCGCCGTATCTAACCTAACTGCTTATTACAGTAACAGAGTAGACTAGTCTGGGGGTGGGGACAGGGCCAGGGGGAGAAGGTCACTCAGGTCTAGCAGCCACATGTACACAGCAGGATGGTATCTTTTCAGAATCAAGAGGGGTGGATTCATAAAATTCAATCAGGAGCATGTGTGTGTGCATTTATACAAGCCTTTTTTTTTTTTTTTTTGCCTGAATCTAAATTATAGAGATTTTAATAGCTCCAGTAATTAGACAAGTATGCAGTCAACCCCATTATGTTCCTGTGTAATATCACACTCCCTAGGGCCCACCTTCACTGCTCCCTGCATGGGCCCCCTTCCCCGTTATTTTCTGCCATAGGGAAGCAGTTTTCTTTTCAAAGAGCTTACTGTTCACATTGTTTTTGTTCCCTCGATCTGGAGGTTGGATTTGCTTTCTCAGGAGTTTCGCCACTGCATTGCCCAATTGAGTGGAAAAGGTCTGGTGGTTCATTTGCATTCCCCACAGTGCCTAGTCCATGTGCTAGGCTGCACAGTGGATGCCATACAGTTGAGCAGGCACTTCGCACAGTGACTGGCATAGGGTAGACACTTCAAAACCATTTACAACCGAGTCTGTTTAAAAATCTGTTCATGGTTCAATTATTGACCTTAAGGAAAGCAGAACAAAATGCCTAGATTCACTATCTTAAATCATGGACACTTGTACAAAATTGCCGTTCTTGCTTCCTGATTGCCTCTCTCATTATTGTGTCTCTTCTGTTTTGTTAACTTTCTATTAGGCATAGTAATATTTCACTTCATCAGCATAGATAATCTCCTTGCAGGTGCTGAGGGCTACAGCTTGGATTTTTCTTACTCTTATCTCCTCTAGCACTACGAAACAAAAACCTTTAGGTTATTTGAAATTAAGGACAAGGTATGCAGTATTACTAAAATAATGCAATTTACCTAATCAAGAGATTGACTTCTTTCATCTACCTACACATGTTTTCTTAGAGGCTGTCAGAAAGCAGTTTTTCTTATCTTTTTTTCCCCATAAGATAGTCCCAAAGAAAGGTGTCTGGAATTTTGTATCCTGAGATCACCTTTCCTATTCAGTCCTACCCTCTTTTCCCCAAAAAGAAAGAGAAATCTAAATTAACTATTGTTCCTTCACAAGGATCTGAAAGTTGTCCCCTGAAAGCAATTCTAGAAGTCGATGAAGTTGGTCTTCAAACTACCTAGAAAAGGAAAAAAAAAAGTAGCATAAAATTGAATGTTTAAGTCACTCTTGAAATTGAATTCCTTGTAATTGGCAAACTGATAGTCTTTTTTCTCTCTAGGGTAGGTATCGGACAACAGAAACAGTGATGGGGGCAGCGGGAGTAGACTTGAAAGTCAGAGATGTTTTCTTAAGCCTCTGTCTCAAATCTTTTCTACAGAGACAGATAAAAGGATAATGAGCTGAGGTATTTTTAAAGGATTCTCACAATTTACAACTCAAATAAATCTAGTTTTAAAATATGGTGTTTTTAGGCTCTAATGACTGCAAACGTTAAACTAAATATTTTGCTTAAACGAGTAAAGACAGAGCGGGTATATGAGCAAATTAGAATGCACGAAAGCTGCCTCTGCCATGGCAGTTTCCTCCAGAAGAGAATGGCTAATTCATACACAACATATTCTTGTCACTCCTTCGGGAGGAAAGCGGCCCTGGGAGGAGCCCAACCGTTCAGCATTTTGCTTCTGGTCAGGATTGATTCCAGATGTGGGAGGTAAATGCTATAAAGGATTTGGAAAATGGAGTGGAAATGAAAAATCCCGCAGGCCATTTGAGTGTTGATGACAGATGAGGTAGGTATTTTCAGGTAACTAATGAACTTGCCGGGAGCTTGGAGAGTGCTCAGTCCAGTAGATATTTAACAGGCAGGAAAGACCCAGCTGAGATATCGTGGCTGCCCCCATGCACCAAGAATGGAGGGAAACATCGAGTTTTGATGGTAACGCATGGATACCAAAAGCTGAGGCATGGCTATTCTGTAAATGAGCTGAGTTTAAGTCTTTTCCTAAAGCTAGTTCATAATTTGTAAATAGATGGGTTTTCTCAACTTCTCATTATTTGATTTATCACAACTATTTCATTATTTGAAGAAATATTGAACAAGTATATCTGTATCCCTAGGTGTAAGTCAGTAAGGCAGGATGGCAGAGTGTTATAAACACAGTTCTTTTTTTTTACATTTATTTACTTATTTTGAGAGAGACAGAGACAGCAACAGAAAGCAATCAGGGAGGGGGCAGGGAGAGAGAGACTGAATCCCAAGCAAGCTCCACTGTGTCAGCGCACAGCCCGTCCTAGGACTCAAACTCAT